ATCCATATATTTATTAATATAGCTGGGATTTTGACAGAATTATTCCACCTTATGGTGTCTTATTTTGAAAATACAGATGTTGTGCTCGTTCCTTTTCCTATTTGTGTGATGTGATCTTTGTAGATTGACTCTGGAGCAGCTCCAGAGTCCGGCAAAAATARTATCTGATCTAATTTTGGCGGATTGCCATCCGCTCACCGCCGCTGTGCGGAGCCAGTGTAAACACTCTCATTGATTAGAATGGGTGGGTATTTACTGAGGAGGTTGGTCGCATATAGTGTAAACTGGGGGTAACCTTTAGCTTATTAAACTAGCCTGAACAAAAACTACAGTACTTTCTAGCACTATTTTTTATAGTTTAGCTGGTCCTGCAAATTATGCTTTATTTTCCTTGTGACACATTTTTTGACTAATGTGTTTAGTTCATACTGACTGACAGGAAGTAAATACTACCACCTACAGCCACAAGAGGGCGCTCTAGGCTTCTGACAACTACAGTRTATGTTGTTCCTGTACCGGGTTTAAAAAGTACGCAGCACAAAACCGTAATTGAGCTGCAGAAAGAAAGTTTGGAGTGAATGAGGGAGTGGTGAAAAGCAGAGGTTTCTCTTACTGYGATGAAGAAAATGAAKAAAGCTGATCACGTKATGTGGGAGGAGACTGGTGAATTTACCAGTAACTTACTTGTTGTGTTAATTAAGGCTATTCTGCAGCCCAGGTTTGTTCTGGGTGTTATTGTGTGATTCCAGGTTAAATGTCAGTTCTTACTTTGAGAAATTAATTCCTAATTAAATGCGACTTATAGTCCGGAAAATTCAACATTTCTTCTGACTTGAGGCCATTCAAAGAGCTATCTACACCAACTCAATTATTAATGACAAACTTTCTAACAAAACTCCACTTCAACAGATTTGAACTCAGTGTGTGTGTGTGTGTGTGTGTGTGTGTGTGTGTGTGTGTGTGCCAACCTGCTCACACTGGCCATACAGGTCTATGAAGGGATAACAGGGTGAAGGGATGTCCTGCGCTGCCACACCCTGGTCCATGCCGTTAACATAGAGGTGGAGACAACTGTTGGTGTCCACCAGCAGACCCAACACTGTSCCCTCTGGACAAGTGTCCAGGTTAGGACCGTAGTTCTCACATATCTGAAACATTAGATAAAAATAATAAACTCCATCACTGAACAGGCCCATCTGAAGAGGACCGTTTGTCACATAAAATAAAAATCAATAACCTCCAACTAAGCCTGACAGATCTGTGTTTACCAGGGATCATGTTAACGGAATAGGTTTGACTTTTTTTTTTTTTTAAATAAACGGTGACAGAAAACTCTGAAGGCCATCCATCATTTTGACAGATTGTGATTACCACCTCTGACCACTAGATGGCGAGTTAGCATATTAATTAGCTGTTCTCTCACTTGAGACATTTGGTTACACACCAGCAGGTCCATGTGGACCAGGAGGAAGGTGTGAGACTGTGTTCAGACCTCAGCAGGTGATCTGTCCAGATTTTAAGTTCAATGGTTTCATTTCTTTGTTCATATGTAGTTATTGGGACCAGTCAGTGTTTTTGTTGTGTTCATCTGGTTGATGTGGATTGTCTGTTCAGCTTGTTCCGACTGAATATTGATCAAAATGAATAAAAACAAATGCTACTGAATGTTTAATTAATATAATATAATATAATATAATATAATGGCAGGATGTTTTAAACTTCTAGTGTTTTACCTTCAGTGAGTTGTGGAAGACAGAGTCTCGCTGCAGCAGCCAGGCGGAGCGTTTCAAACAGCACGCCGTGGAGGGGAAGTTGAGCCGGTCAGGGGAGTGGCCTATCACCCCTAAYGACAGGGACGACGTCCATGACGGGTTCAAACGATCGATCTGAAACTGGTACCGAAAGGAAATAAAACCATTAGCTTTAAAACCAAACACCAGGAGAAAGCGTGAAACCCTTCATCACCTGGAAGAGCTGCTGACGGGCCAGCGGCTGGGCGGTGACCAGCAGGCCCTGGTTGTAGCTCGACACTCGGGCCGCGGTCAGGTTCTGGTTGGACAGCTGGATGTTTTTGCCGTGGTTTTCCAGGAACGCCATGACCGTGGGCACGAGGGAACACTGCTCGCTCTCAGCCTAAACGAGGAGGAGACAAGAAAAGATGAAGACTAAAGCAACAGAAACTCACAGGGTTACACGATGTTGGCAAAAAAAAWTWATCACGATTTATTGTGGTATTTAGCTAATAAGGATTAATATGATGTCATAGTCACATGACCCTTTACTGTTTWAGTGGGAAAAATACACCCTCTGTAAAAATCTGTTCCCATCTGTGTCAAAACAGACTTCAAATTAAAACACCAGTTTTTAAATTGTGTTGAAAAGGACAAATAAAACAAAACTATGATAAATAATTTACGGCTCTTTTTTTTAGGCGCCGTCTGAGTAAAAAAAGAGCTTCTACAGAACTCTGAAGTCCAAACAGGAAGTGAGTAAGTATTAAAGAGCCTGTGACATCAAATTGTTGTACTAAATATGAATGCATTTTCAGAAATACAACACTAATAACTTATTACAACAAACATTTCATGCCACTGAGATGAACAGGTGTTGAGATATTCACATGTGAAGCAACAGGAAGTGATGTCAAAGGGGAATGTTTGAATGTAAACAGAGCTTTACTACAGTGGATAGACTGTAAAGAAAAATCTGACGTTTCTTTAGATTATTTAAAGTCACTATCAGAGATAAATGAAGAAGTGTCAGAGTTCAAACAATATTGCTTTAATAAGCAAAGACCAAAGAATTTGATTTCTTAAAGAGATCCCCTTTGATGTCACTTCCTGTTTGCTTGTCCAAGCCGAATTAAAAGGAAAATATGCCAGTTATGTGACAAAGTGAATAAAAATGTGTGTTTTATGCCAAATTTCCTAATATACAGCTTTTTTCTTTGACTTTTTGTATTTGAAGGATAAGCATGTCACAGGCGCTTTAATGACAAAGTGTTCAGGAAGATAACTGGATGTAAGTCTGGACCTCTCTGACAGGGCTGCCGTCCTCCTCCCCCTCGCTGCAGCTGTCTGAGGTGAGCGACGGCGCCTTGACGCTCTCAGAGTCCTCCGTCAGAGACGAGCTGACGATGGAGACGGCCGTTATCCTCCCGTACAGGTCCAGAATGGCGTAAACGTTCTGCGGGGCGCCAGAGAGGCTCGGCTGAGTGTCACCAGAGGTTTAAAGGAGGTTTTGTGTGAATGTGGTCAGGAGGTGGGCGTACCTTGGGGATCGCAGTCGCAGCAGGTCCCATGTCCTCCCCATCGATGAAGACGTGCATGGTGTCGTCGTTGCACCTCTTCACGCCGACACGGTTCCCAACCTGGAAACACGTTCAGGATTAACGGCTTTTGTTTCATTTTAGGAGGTGAAAAACAAGTTTTATTCCTCTTCACGACCTCACAAGTTGATTAATTTAAATAAAGTTCTTGTGAATGATATTTCCCAAACTTTTCTCCGCCAAACGTTTTGCACAACACGGTTGTTCACACAGAACTGTGTGGTTACTTGCAGCTAGCTGTTGCACTTCTGGTGCAGTTCTGACAGGAAMATCATTATTTTGTTGTAAATTTTAAAAATTAATGTAAGAGCTACCAGTTGTTCATCCCTGAACTAAAACAGGGTAAAAACAGAAATTCTTTAACATTTAATACCATCACAACATAATTTAATACCAACACAGGGGTGGAGCTAGACTTTTTTACAAGGGGGGCACATATAAAGAAAACTACCCTGGATTTTAAAGTTAAAGATGGCCACCACAGCTAAATATAAATGTATATAATTCAGCCATTTTAAAACTAAGGTGAAATTTGTTGTGGTGTAGTCAAGAAGGATTGCAAGTCCCAATTTAAGCTAAACGCTAATGCTAAAGTTACAAAGGGCTGTAATTCTGCCATTAAATACAAAGCAAAAAATTATATAATAGTAGCCAAGAATAGTATTTAACAAAACCTGAATGTACCGGTAAATACAAAATCCAAGATGGCCACCAAAGMTAATTTCAAATAGTTAAACCTCTGCCATTTTGTAGAAATACTGAGCTGAGATTTGGTAAGGTGGTAGCCAAGAGCAATCCCTGTGTCATATTTAAATCCCAATTTTAAGTTTTTAGAGATATRAAGCTGAAATTTAGTGTGGTGGTAGCTGCGAGTGATGCCTAACAGATTCTAAAATCAAATAAAAGATGTCCACTAAAGCTAAATTCAAATGGCTACAATTAATCAATTTTTATATATACTGAGCTAAAATTTAGTGTGGTGAAATTGTTGCCTTTGTATAATAATTCAGTGGTTTAGAAAAGTATTCTTTTTTTTTTTTTTAGCTCTAACTGACCACTTTTTTATTGCCAAATGCAATCCCCACCCCCACTTGTCAATCATTTGGGCGTGGCACATGGGGAGACCCTTTGGCTCCGCCCCTGTACCAACATGAGTTCGAGCTGCAACTGTAGCGGCAACCTCTTGAACTTCAGTTAGGGGTAACTTATAAATGGATAAATGTCATTTTCTTGCTTAGCTTTTGTAGTAGGTGTAATATAATTACAGTTACTGAATACATAGTTACTTTAGCTTTAATTTATTATTYAACCCTAACACAAGACAAAAAGTGAATTTATTGTTTTAGGAAGAGGGATATTTAGGAGAAAGACTGGGGAAAAAATGTTTAGTTGGGTAGTTGTTTAAATAATTAATGCCTTATCATTTGTAACTTTTTAATGGTCTTAATTTTTGCTCATTTCATTTACCACCCTTTAACACCCTTTACGACCYTACAGACAGGTAAGCTGAACACAACAAGCTGCTGCTCACCGTCAGCCGCTCCAGTGAATAGCCGTAGTTCTGGCGCTGCAGCGCTCCGTTGCGCCGAACCTCCGAGCTGCAGAGGAGCCAGGTGACCTTGGTGCGAAGCTGCGGGAGGGATGGGGAAAGACCGGACAGCGGGCGGGACGGCAGCTCTGGAGGAGCCAGGGTGGTCAGACCGATGTGCAGCGAACCGCACCACTGCTCGTCCACTTCATCGATCCTCACCTGYGGGAGGGAAACAGAAACTGACTTTAGTAACAAATTTCACGTTTTATAGATTAGATTTTATTGGTAATTTTCATTTTTAGTGAGCCGACCTCAAACAGCTCGTCAGCTCGGAGCTCCTTGGCACTGAAGGCGATGCCGTGAGCGTAACCTCCGATTCTGATGGCCTGGCAGCCCTCTCCCAGCAGCACCACGTTCTTACCGTGTTTACTGTGGAAGTGATGAGCGACGCCTGCTGCTGCAAGGAGGAGAAAAACATGAAGACGCAACTTTAAAAACCACGCAGCTTGTCTCTGGTGTTTGCTGTGAAACGTTCTGCTGGACGCAGCACCTGGGGAGTGAATGGGGAAGCTCTTCTCGGTGACGTTGCTGGTACACAGACTGTTGTCCAGCGGGCCCGAGGAGCTGGTGATGGACACCTGAACACACTGACCGTACAGATCGATGACAGCAAACACCTCTGGAAGACACAGACGGAGACGCTGATGTCGAGCTGGTTTGTTGCCGTCGACCTGAGCGAGGCGGGCCTGTTCCTTACCTGGCGGCAGGCCGGAGCAGGCCACGCCTTGGTCCACGCCGTTGATGTAATAGTGGAGGTTGCCGCTGGCTGAGCGCATCATGCCGATCCGAGAGCCCGTGGTCAGAGAGTCCAGGTCGCAGCCGTAATTGTTGCGCATCGTGTTTCCATCCTGCATGATGGCTGTTCCACTGCGGACAAAACAAACATGTTCAGGTGTKAAAACCTAAATTTAATAAGAGGTTCTGATATTAAGGCACTTTTTGAAGCTCCTATGGGTATAGATGTTGGGATAAARTTTATTAAAGTGGACATATCCTGCTTTTAAATCTTTCCTTTTCACATTTAAATCATTCAGTCAGGGGTTCCCMAACTTTTCCAGTCACAGAATGAATGAACCCACAAACAAATGTAACGTCAACTTTTAGAATTTTTTTCCCCTCACTTTTATTTACGATTTGATAATTATTACATTTCTTTTAGCATAATGTATTAAAGGGCCTGTGACATCAAATTTTTGCAATGAATATGAATGCATTTTTGGAAAGATAACATTGATAACATATTGCAAAACAAATTTCACATTGCTGGGATGAACGGTTGTTGAGATCAAAAAGAAAAAATAAGTAGGTCCTCTGGATGGGTTCTTCTTTAGTGAAACGTTTCGTCTCTCCTCCAAGAGACTTCTTCAGTCTGATGGGTTTCAGGTGAACTCAGCCTTAAAAGCACTGCCTCCACATGGTGGACAAAGAGGTTAGTCACATGATAAAGAGGAGGCAGTGCTTTCAAGGCTGAGTTCATCTGAAACTCATCAGACTGAAGAAGTCTCTTGGAGGAGAGACGAAACGTTTCACTAAAGAAGAACCCATCCAGAGGACCTACTTATTTTTTTCTTTTTGATTTTTTTCTACCTGGATTACTGAGATGCATCAGGACAGGTTGTTGAGATATTTACATGCGAAGAAACAGGAAGTGATGTCAAAGGAGGAATGTCAGCATGTACACAGAGCGTCGTTACAACAGCGAACAACACAGGCTGTAGAGAATAATCTGATGTTTCTTTAGATTATTTTTAGTCCCTATCAGAGAGAGATGAAGAAGAGTTAAAGGTTAAAAAAATTGTTTTAACAAACAGAGACCAGCAAGGTTATTTTATTAATGAGTTCCCYTTTGATGTCACTTCCTGTTTCACTTTGGCTGAGCCAAGTTCAAAAGAAAATAGGCCAGTTTATGTGACAAAATGGATAAAGTGTTTTATCCYGATTTTCTTAAGTATAAAGATGCTTTCTTTGACTTTTTGTATTTGAAGGATGGGCGTGTCACAGGCACTTTAACTAATATGTTTTTAAACACTGTATTATACTCCCACTGAAAGACCTACCTACTAGAACAGAACAAAAGGAATCAAACCTCTCATTTATATAAAAAGAGGAACTGTGATGCTTTGGTTGGAATTCCTCCTTATTGTAACTCCACAAGCCCTTCTTTCACCCCTTTTCTGAGGTGTGTCTGAGTGCAACTCGTTTTGGTGCTGCCTCTTTAAGTTCAAATGAGGCACTTTACCATTTTTTTCAACCATTTTTGTAGTTTGATAACAGAGTTACGGTATTTTCAGGACTATAAGTTGCATTTTTTTTCATAGTTTTGCTGGCCCTGGTATTCTGAAATGACTTATCTGTGGTGTTTTCCTCTCCATGGTGCATTTTTTGACTGTTGTGACTTATAGTCCAGAAAATACAGCACAATTATCTAGCTGTGCAGAAACGTTTTATGTAAAGATGTCAACAAGGGAAGACTTGTCCATCCAGCCTCACATGTTGGAGCCAGAGTCTGAGGAGAATGAAGACGACAAACCTGCAGAAATGTGGATTCACAAAATTTCTAAGCCGGAAGTCAACTTGTTTAGCAGTTCAGCAACAAATAATGTTCAAAAAACTTAATGGGGAATAAAGAAAACTGAAAAATACAACCCGAACAAAATATAAAGATATCTACGCAGCACCAGTAGAGAGGAAATTCAAATTTTCGGCACTCCTAAGTCCACAACAAAATGCACTTAAGGRTTAAAAACGTGGATTTTGCACGATGAGTCCCCTAACCGAGGTTCCATGTGTAATACCTGAGCATCCACGTGTCGTAGTCGATGTCCGTCATAGTGTTTGGAAACTCCAGCTCCTCTGGTCTGATGGCCGTCACGCCTGATCGCACAGGAAGTCGAGGAGTTAAAAATAAATAAATAAAGTTTACAATTCATGTGGGATCTTAAATGCTGGAGTAAGACAGAGTGTACAGAGAACACRTATCGCCTGCTGACACTCGTCAAACATTTTATGTGGTAAGTGGTCACGACGCTCAGCTTCCACGCCAAAATTTACCTCAATATCTGTGAAACAGACTGAGCTGTAGGGATTTTTGTGTTTGCTGAAATTGATAAGCTGTTGTGGCCATTTCTGTTAACAGACACACACTAGGAATGTGCGATGTGGCAAAAAATTCATATCACGATATACATTATGATGGGTGGTGGTAACGATATAATCACGATATAAAACTTATAAT